ATTATTTATATCCTTGGATGGTATGTACATCAATTTTTAACGTAATTTGAAATAGATATTAGTCTGAAGGCCAAATTAAAACTAATTTATGACATTTATAGTGCAATATAAGAAAAATAATCTTTTGAAGTATAAAATAAGAATTGAGATATCTTTCGGGGTGTAACACCCAAAAAACCAAAACTACAAAACAACTAGCAAAAGATTTTCATATGAAACACGGTTTACTATAATGCGAACCTTACGAGCTAGTAAGAATTGGAGTTATGGAGATTTACGAGCTGAAGCACGCTTGCATACCAAAGTGATCATGTGGGACAAAATAAGGTATCATTTGCAAATACTTTTTTAGGTGATTTTTTGTTTTTGTTTTTTGCTCTTTTTAAGTAGTGTTTGTTTTAAGATTTTTATTTTTTCCTTGTTGGGGCTTATTAATGACTCTCTTCATCTAACCTTAATAACATCTATAGTAACTAGCAATAACTAGTAATGCACGACGTGCATTACACGAGGTTATATTTAATTAATAATTTTATTATTTGAATTTTCAATTACATGTGTAATAAAATTTAATATTAAATTATGTGTGAAATAAATAATTTTTATTTTAATTATTACTAAATCTAATTAGATCAATTTTACCTCTTTTTGGGTATCTAATATGTCATTTTTTTAGGTATTTCCCCAACCCATTAGGCATTTTTTTTTATATATATAATGAAGTTTCATTGTAAGATTTTTATTATTATATAGATATAAAAAACTACGTGTAAATATACTACAAATAAATGATTTCAAAAGAATTTAGAAATAAAATATAATTAATAAAAAATTCCAAAAGAATTTAGAAGTCAAAGAGGCACAGAAAATAAAATTTGGATAAAAGTAATAAAGAATTTAGAATTCGAATACTCTTTATAGAAGAGTCCAAAAATACTTATAAGTCAAATAATTATAAAAAATAAAATTTGGAAGAAAGTAATAGATGAGTATCAGTGACTAGGAAATGAAAAGTTTTTCAAATATGCTGACATTTATAAGTAGTATATCTATATATATGTGTATACAATATACATGCATATAAAGTGTATATATTTATGCACTAAAATACATCTAGATCAAAATAGTTATCATACATGTTTTTATTTTTATTTTTTCATGAAATTTATTTTTGTTTAAAGGAGTTTGTAAACGAATGTATTACCAAATTGAATATTAGGTTGTACCCGCTCTGACACTAAAATATATTGGATATTTTATAGAAGGATCGATAAAACATTAAATTGAGCTGGATAATGGATATCATAAGTTACTGTATTAGAGCTCAAATGCTCAACAAACAGAAAAGCAAAGTGGGAACTCTTCACAGAACAAAATAACTGAAAACATAAATAAAAATAAAAATTTCATCAAAGAACGTGAGGAGTCTGTCGAGCGTCTAAACCGAGAATGCCAGCAATCCCTGAAAGAAGGGATGACGAATCAGGAAATCGTTGATTGAGCTGCTGAGAGCAAACCCAATTAACCGTGAAATCTACAGCCTGATTCGCCTCTTGCAGAACGTGGCAGACTTGAGCCGAGAGAGAAACACATAGAAGTCGAATTCGAGCAAACAGATAAGTATAAACCTAGCACCTAATACCCTGAGAAGAAACCAAACAAACCACTGTAGCTGAATCCGACTCACTACTAACTCTGAAGTTTTCAAATCTGCGACCAACTCCAACCCAACACAAATAACCTGCAACTCTACATACAGAATAAACTGATGCCCTAGAAACAAACCAAAAGTCCTGAGAACCTGACCCTGATAGTTCTAAATAACATCCCCTACCGTAGACAACCCCAAATTGCCTTTAGACAGCCATTAACATTGATCTTCAGGTACCTCGCTACAGAACGAGTCTAAACAACCAAGTGAGGAGGTTGAGGTCGAGGAACCACCTTGCTTTTGCTTTGACTTTCTTCCTCCCACTTTACACTTCTGGAGGTTTGGTTCTATGTCCTCTTCCCTTATACCTTTTTCTTTTTAGTTATATATACAGGTAGGGGTCCTGCCAAACTCCCCACGCACACCGAGTAGCTTTGACTAAAAAAAAATGCTCAAACGCTCAACAAAAAAGAAAAAGAAAAAGAAAAAAAAGTTATTTATTATTTTGGACTATTGGTCTTGAATTNATGCTCAAACGCTCAACAAAAAAGAAAAGGAAAAAGAAAAAGAAAAAAAAGTTATTTATTATTTTGGACTATTGGTCTTGAATTGACACCTAATAATTAATAAGGCATAGAAGAAAAAGTGAATAGCTTTGTCCTCCTTAATGTAAGCTTGGTTGTTGAAGAAAAAACAATAGGGTATTGCCTGGGAGTTGATTGTGGGTAAATAAAAAAAAAAAGAAATGAAGAAAATACGGGTGAATGGGCAATTTTAAATATGAAAATGTCTGGTTATAACCAGATTTTAGTGGTATAAAATTGGAAGATTGGGGGTGGAATTGAACATATAATGTAACAATTTTTCAAAATTGGGCAAATTATACTTTGATCTCCTCAATTATTACTCTTTTTCATATTGCCCTCTCAATTATCATATTTTTCACATTACACCTTCTACTGTGATTATTTTCACTTTACACCAATAACTAACGTCTGTTATCAATTTGACAAAAAAATATTTCATTTTGTTCTTCGAACTATGTGACCTTCTTCAGTATGCCCCAACATATTGACAATTTCTGTCCAAAAAGAAAATGAGCTTTTGTGTTTGGAGTAGTGTGAAATAATTGGAGTTATTGAAGGACAATAAGAAAGGTCCAATAGGTTAAGAGATAAATTAAAATCGAGTCCATAGTTAAGAGAATTAAAATATAATTTTCCCTTAAACTTTTATACTTATCTCTGAATTATGTGCTTTTAAAAGTTCTCATTCTCACATANAAATATAATTTTCCCTTAAACTTTTATACTTATCTCTGAATTATGTGCTTTTAAAAGTTCTCATTCTCACATACCATCTTAAATGGGGCGGATGAACCGTTTCTTGTTCTTTTTCTCTTTCGTTTCTTCAAAAACAAGAATGTCAAAACTCTTCAAAGTTGAAAGCTAGACTAGTGAAAATACTCAATCTTAAAACTGTTATGCAAAAGTCCTAGTGATACAGTTTTCAAAATTACTCATTTCTAACCCACCATTGAAAAAGGGAGAGGGTTGATTGAAAAACCATACAATTCTAAAATTACATTTGAAGTTAGAAATTTAAAGGCAACAAAAGTTAGAACCTCATGTGTTTGTTTTACCATTATGCTTATGTTTGACTTACAAAATGGACAAATTCCGTGCATTTATTTTCCCTTCACAAACAAAAGGGAGAATAAAATTGTTACCTCAATTTCATTCTTTTCTCTTCTGGAGTGGTACATTTAGAGAACAAGTTAGGATTTTTTACCATCACCAACACCACCATCACCAAGTCCACCACCACCACCACCACATTGCCAAAACCATCACCACATGCCCACCATCACCACTACATTTATGTTTTCATTATTTTTTAGGTTATTGTCCAAACAAGTTTTACTGTTTTCTATTATGTAGAACTGTTTTTGGAAACATATAACCAAACAAGTTCTACGACACTAAAAATATCAAAATATAGTTTTTTAAAACTCTTCCCAAAAACAATTTTCTAATACTATTTTTTGAAACACAGACTAAACGTAGCCTTAGTTTTCCATACTGTTTCAATTTTTAGAGTAATGCTGCAAATGGGTTAGTTTCATATCGAATATCGCCTTAACCTCTGATATAGTAGATCAATATTTAAATGAATAGTTAAATCGTACCACTGTTAAATTATGCATCTATAAAATATATAAAAGCAAGCATAAGGAGAGAAGAAGTCTTAAAGAAAATGTAATATAAAATGTATTACCAGTGGCTTTTGCAAGCAAAACAATAAACTTGTATATCTTATTAATCCTTAGAAATGGGTATTGAAGAACTTACTTGGTAAGCTCTTTAGTCCTCCAAAGGGATGTTCTTTGAAAAAGACAAAAGAAAACAAGAAGTTGTTGCTGATGATAGAGGAGGAAGAGTTCTTTATTTATAGGCACTGATATTTACTTGACTTTTTTTTTTCTTTTTGTTCAAGTCTACGTGCAACATTCCTGTCTTACATTATTTCTTCCATGTTATGAGTTGACTTGCATTCTTGAACTTTAAGATCACATATTTGAACCACGTTGCACCATCTCTCTCTAATACTAACCGAAAAGAAAACATGAAATCTTCATATGAGTGGTTAAAAATAAATTGGAACCCAAAAAAAAAAAAAAAACAAAAGAAAAGGCAACTGATTTCATCCAAGAGCAAGGGAAAAGGCTACGGTACTGCCGGCTGTACCATACCAAAAATTACAATTATTCTTTCTCTCGCCTTTTAGAACATCTTTAAACCTTACTTAAATCTTGATCCAAATTGAAATTCGAGTAAAAATGCATTCAAAATAAGCTCCAACTTTTTTTTCAAACTCATATAAAATGAAAGTAGACTAAAACTTGATTAATCAAGATTGAAGATGCTCTGATGAGGATTATTTAAAAACAGCACGACTCAAGAGGCAAAAAGCTTTGATTCCTTA